TGACGGCGGGGAAAAAGTTGTGGATAAAAGTGCAACAGTGTGCAAGCATTGTGCAACACGTTTTGTTTATGCTAACAGCAACATGACCAACATGTCATGCTAACCCCGAAATCCCACATACTCTGTCAGCGCTCCGCTCCGCTGCGCTCCAGACCGCCTGCACAAAGCAAAGCCTACAGCCCCCACTGTGGCTCCCGTCCGCTCCGCTCTGAGTTCCTTAGAGATCGTAGAGGGCATGCGCGAGATGATTAAATTCAAAGCAGCAAAACATGCGGAAATGATCCAGGGTTTCCGCGGATCATTAAAAATAATTACAATTCATAAATTTGTTTGTATTCTTTTCATTAATTTCATTCATTTTTATTTTTTTATTAATTTTTATTAAATAAATTTTTATTTTTCGGTGTAACAATAAACATATACCGAACCGAACACCGTGACCACGAAACCGTGAACCGAACCCAACCGTGGATTTTGTGAACCGTTCCACCCCTAATTTATATACAGTACATGTTTAAGCCAGAATGATTTGACATTTAAATATGACTTCCCTACGACTTTAACATGTTTTATAGCATAGCTGTAATTCTTTGTTTTTGTGCCTCTTTCTTTTTTCACCTTGTATCTTCTGTTTTGTATCTTTGACTAATTTAGACAGCACTCTGTATATGTGTTCTATAGAATGGGTTTATAATAAAATACTTTGTTTTTGGGAGGCTTTTTATTTTTTGTAACAAGTGAGAAAATATAAACACTTTTGTGTGAAGTGAAGAAGCTCACCACTGATGATGTTGTTGACTTCCCCAACAAGCTGGTTGGACTTTAAAAGCAGCTGATTTGAGTCAACCTCCAAGGTCCTCTGATCCACATCGTGGTTGTTTCTGTCTTGCTCTTCTGTAGGTGGGAATGTAGGAGTAGACAGCTTACGATTGAAGTACCTTTGAATGCTGTCCAGCTCACTAAGTTTCCTCCTGTCAAAGCAATTTAGGGGATTTTTATATTGGTATTATCACTTCAAATACAAATGTGAAATCATTATTCAAAGAATGGAAATAAAACTGAGTTTAAATACCTGAGTGCTGAAAACAAAAATGAGCTGGAGGAATTGTCATTGGTTGAGCTTCCACCTGCAGCGTGAGAGGCTGTTTGTTCGTGCAGATTCTGATGGTAAAGGCGTACGTTGTCCATGTGCTCACCATGGCGATCGTTCTCACCCGGCCTGCGACATAAAACAGTTCATAAAAGAACGGTTCCACTTTATACGTGGGTCATCAAACTGTTCTGCACCAACCTTTCAGAGAACAACCTGTCGCTGTGGTTTGGTGAAGAAATCTTCTGCTCTGGAAACCTGCTGATGTGGGAGGGGAAGCTGCTGTACATGGCTGTGGTTTGGTAGCAGAGAGGAATGGCCTGAAACAGAGCCTGTAAATACAATCATTTCACGTTCATTTCAAAATCGGGCTGGACATAACAGACTGGGTGTTAAAAAAAAAACAAAAAAAAAACACTCTTACTGAGGAGTTTTTGGCATCTTCTTCGGTCGCGTTTTTTCTCTGCCTACGCAGATCCTGGACTCCCCTAAGAGGAGTTATAGACACCTTAATCTGACCGTGACACTGACCACTGAAGTCTGTGATGTTGTACCAGCCACACACGGACGGGAATCCCCACAGTAAGGGAGACAGGTCTACTGTGGCAAATCCAATCACCCGTTCTATTTCTGTGGAAAAAAACCATCACAATAAAACAAAAAAGCAAAACCAGCAAAAGCTGCCGTGGTCATGATTCTTCTCAGTCTACCTCCTTTGTGCCAGACTTTAAACACAAGAGATTGTTGTGGATCAACCAGCAGCTCCTTCGAAAGCCTGCAAATGTAAAGGAAACACATTAACTTTGTGTTTGATCTAATTTGGTCTGTCTTCCTCAAGTCTTACTTGACCTGCATTCGTGCTGATGGTCCCACACAGGACAGTCAGTGTTGGTCACAACAGATGTGGAAACTGGTTCAGAGGAGTCAACTGTGACGTAGGAAACACAGCAACTAGGTGTCCCTTCAGTCTGCGCAGACAGAGGACAACCTGAAGGAAAATAAAACAATCTTCTTATAGAGTATCTAGCAAAGTATGATGGAGACTGCATGTTTTTCTTCAGCTAGGATGAGGAAGCAGGAGCAATGTGTTTGTAAATGCAGAACAATCTTGGAAGTTTGGTCCTTTTCTAACAAGAGAACAACTTTAAACAAGCAACCAGAGGTCCAAAGGGATGGCTTGGATCAAAGCATATATGGGCATTAGAGTGGCTCAGTTTGCATCAAAAACAATATACATTTAAAAAAACTAATGGCATGCAGCCTTCATCCAGTTGATTAAGTTCTGGCTATGTCAGTGCAAAGCTGGTGGGGATATAAACTAAAAGACCTGCTGCTGTAATTGCAGGCACAGACAGCACAACAAAGCATTGCCTTCAATAACAAATATGAATTTTTCTCAGCTTCATGCCGTTTTACTTGGAGTTGGTTTATCTTTTAAAAATGTAATATAAAAAGTGAAGTTTGCTTTTATATTGTGACAAAACGTAACAGCGGGTAAATGGTTAAAACTGCACACAAATATCAAATATTTTAGGTTTACGCTCACCTGTCAGGTTCAGGTGCATGGCTCGATCCACAGCTATAGTCACAGGGAAAGAATCCTCAACATTCACCGCTGTGTGATGCACAGATGTTATGTCTAGAGTTTCTCTGGATGGTTTACTCCTTTGTGAGGATTTTCTGGGAGTAACTGAAGAAAGCGCACCATCTGCTTCTTCTACTTCCTCGAATAAGATCTCCCCCTGACTCTCAGAGTCCACCTGGGTGTCATGTGCTGCTGATACGTTTGTGGGAACAGAACCGGCTGTTGATGTGATGTGCACCCTGAGAGCTGCTCCTTGTAAATCAGCAGCAGAGCGCATGAACAGTGGGTACACTCCTGTAAAAATACAGAAATCAGATCAGACATCCCGCTGCAGGAATGATTCCAATAAAGTATTTCTACATACCACTGAGAGACAACTTCTGCTTGGGAGTCTTTGCAAGAGAGGACAGATCAACAAACGCAGACCCCACCAATCGGTCTGAGTCACTTGGCCTTGTAGTTCTGTTCTTAGAGAAGGTGACCCACAGCTGAACCTCCAGCTTCTCTTCTCGAAGATACCACATCAAAGGCTGAGTGGTACTCAGCTCCACAGTCCTACTTCCTTCAAAACTCACGGTGGCTTGCCTGCCCTCCTCAACAAATGGGTGCTTCAACTGGGAGCAGAAGGTATCCTGGTCGAAGAACTTGTACCGGAGGTAGCAATAAGTAGGGCGCTGAAGCTCCCTGAGGCCCGGCAGAAACAGACAATGGACAGGAAGCCAGGCTTTGGGCATTGAAAATGTCAGAGAGAGTTTTCTAATGTCTTCTTCCCAGCATCCTTCATCATCCTGTGCTGCACAGTCCCTGTTGGCCATTTCCCAGCCCAGACCCCGAGCAGCTTTAATTACCCTCTCTCTGTCTGAGTGGTGAGCAAAGCTGATAGAAACCTTAAGGCCCCCAACCAAGATCTGCTCCGCCTGTGAAGGATGATTTTCACGGCCTAAATAAAGCCCAAACCAGCCCGAAATACCTACAATTACCAGAAAAAAAACACAATATAACTTCTGTGTTCACATCAAAGAGCTAGACGGGTTAAGTGAATTTATTTTAAACATACCTGTTCTTTTATGAAGCAGATCAATCAATGGGATTTTCACTGTACCCAACATTATATCTGTTTCATTAGGAAGGTTCACTGCTGCAAGAGAAGACAAGAAAAATCCTTCAGATACCACAAATAAAAACAAAATTAGTATTGAGTTTTAAACCAAACAGGACTTTCATCACACATCTTAAATGGTTTATGTTTTTAAATGAAAATGGAGTTCTCCTAACCTCTGTGGTCGTCTCTGTTCCAGACAGTAAAGACAGCAGACGCCTGCTCCAGTTGCTCAGCCAGGCTGAAGGTTTCACCACTGCTCAGGTGAAGCAGCAGATCACAGGTCACCTCCATGTGGTGGTCAAACTCAGGGCAGAACGTCTTGGCTGCTATACGGGAACAGCTCCTCTCACTCTCAGGGAGGAAGGACAGGTGAACCGTGATGAAAGGGTTCACTCCAACGTCCATCAAATAGCTTAATTGATCATTTTCTTTAGATATCGCCCTGGAAAGGTCAAAAGGAGGCTGGTGAAAATGGTGTCATCAATGCAAAGTGGTGACATTAACTGAAGTTGAGAAAACAAATGTTTGACAAATAATATTAGACAAAAAACACATAAAACAAATCTTTCTGGACCTGCAAAAATGTAAGTCTTACATAAGCCTTCTAAGGCAACACGAGCTCTAAGTTTATAAGCCCACTATAAAAACGGACTACATGGGCTTAAACATAGAATAAGCATTTATGATTAAATGTTTATTCAGCAGCAAATGTCATCATGTGACTTCTCTACTGTGCGATATTCAGTGCTTTAAGTTTAAATTCCATAGTAGCACGAGGTGAGGGCGGAGCAGTGAACGTTCTCACAGCGTTGAGTTCAACGTTCGTCGCTTCACCATGCGGTTTGTATGTATTCGGTTTTGTTGCATTGACGAAATTATAGAAACATGATAAAGAAATCTGATCTTTTGTGTTATTTTTATTTTGTGGATTTGGGGAAAATAAATGAAGAAAGTTCACATACCTGCAAAAGAGCGCTACCTGTTTTTGATCTGCGAACGGTTTTTCATGCTTGCAACAAAACTAGCAGCAGTAGTGGAGTTTGGAGATGCAATCCACTTCTTAAATCTATCTATGCGCTCCTCTGATCTATGCAGAATTTCTGCACTCGCACTATTTGTCTCGCTCCCTATTAGCATGCCTTCCCTGAAAATTACTTTCCTGATGACTCTTTTTATTACGTGACAACTTCTCATTAAAAAGCAAACATGCAGGCAATCCTTCTGCACTGGTAATGAAAGCAAAAAAACTCGGCCCATTCTTCTTTGCATCCTCTGTCCTCATCAGCTATCTTCCTTTTTTTCCCTTTAAGATCCATGGCCCAAGAAACACCCGCCGGTGTGTTTCCAACAGCCACCTGCTTGCCATACTGAAACGTGTGTTGCAGGCTATGACGCAAATCTTCGTTGTCAGAAATGTTTACATTTATTGTTTAAATGTATTTATAATACAAATTTTACAACATTGGAAAACATAATAAATGTGTGTTTGACCTCCTGCACACCAACCCAGCTCTACAAAATATTATCCAACGTATAAAAACCATTTTCACTCCCCTTAAAAACATGATGTATATGGGAGGGAAATGCTGCATATTATCAGAGGATTTGACCATTATAACACATGGATATGCTGCGATCTAAGCCATGTACCTCTGCTGTGTGTTTAGGGTCACAGACCAGCTTAACTTCTTAGCAGCTGATTCCCAGTTTTACCCTGACTATGCCAACACTGTAGCTCACCACTGGAATGTTATTTTGGAGATGATGTGAAGTTATTTTTCAGCCATCTTTGGGATGTTTTGTTCACCAAAGTACTCAAACAAACATTTTAGCGCTTCACAGAACATACCGTATTTTCACGACTATAAGGCGCACTTAAACGTCTTTTTTTTCCTTCAAAATGTGCGGTGCGCCCTTTGGTGCGGTGCGCCCTATGTGTGTTGTAACTGCGACTTTTGAGACCACCTCATTGAGGAGATGATGAAAGAGTGGCTGAATGTAAGGAGACCAGGTGTTTTTTTTCCCACTCATCACCATTGCTGTTAATATGTAACTCCATGCGTGCCCATCTCACAGCTGATGTGAAAAACATGGGGAAACAAATTAACGCTGTGCTCGCTGTTCAACCGCTCGACATCGGTGTGAACCGGACCCAGCAGGTGCAGCAGAAGCAGCGAGTTTACATGCAAAGTCAATGGTTGACGCGTATAGGTGCAGCAAAAGGTCCCGCAGCGCGTTTTGAGCAGCAGGCGCTGCGAGTCGGGAGAGTTTAAGCATCTGACGCACCGCCAACGCGCTGCTGCTGCTCGAGATGGAAAAATTGAAGTTTTGCTGCTGATCAGATTACACACAGATGGACAATTCACTAAGTGACTTCTAAATGATAGGATGTAGTTTTATTAGGGGTATCAGACCAAAAGGGGTTTGTTTGCAAAGATAAGTTACACCACAAATGACCTGAAAACAGTCTATTAGTCGAATAGATTTACTTTGTTTTTCCTCACAAAAAAAATCCACTAAACAGTTAGCAAATTATGAATATTTCCCAAAGCGTTTATATACAAGAAAAACTACTTTCTTGAGAGAGATTAACAATAAACATGTGGTTGGTATAAAGATGTACCTTGCTGCTGCCTTCAAACCAGACGCTCTGTGCACTTGAACCACAAGTGTCACAGAAGGAGGAGCAGCTCCTCCCCCAGCCTGTGCTCCAAACCGGAGCGGCCGATGTTTGTATCGTATGCATATGTCTAGTAAACCTGAGCAAGGAAACGGATCAGACACATGGTTATGATGCATATGGCGTCTGCTGGGTCACATTTACAAAATGTGCATGAGCTCACCTGAAGGCTGAGGTTGAAATGCTGAGTTGGCCTCTGTCCTGGGAACCAGGGACAGGGAGAACATCTCAGCTTCGTTAAGATGCGTCTTCTGCATGGTTACCATGGCGCACAGTTTGGACAAGGGAAGTAATCCTCTGGCCACAAGCTGATCCCTGACATTTGGATAATAATATCTGTCAAAAGAAAAAACTCAATAAAATTAGACAAACCAGGAGGCTTAATAGTAGGAAGAGTAGAGGCTTTTAAATGTTATTAAATGTGATCAGTGAAAGTGTCTCTAAGAATTCTGACAATGAAGTGTTGGTGAAGGAGCTTCACACGGCAGGATTTATCTTACACAAATCAGTCTTTTTTGTCAAGCCTGAACTCTACTCAAGCTACAAACCTGCACCACACTTCGAACTGGACGCCTCCTCCACTGCTCAGGGTGCTGAGCAGCAGACGCTGAACAGGAACTCCTTCTGGAGCCAGAAGAACGTGCGTCTCAGTGTGACCAAACAATGGGTCTGGGACACAAAGCGTGGTGGTGGTCCGAAATGGCTTCAGGTTCAGACCTGGTGGTTCAGAATCAGAGCTAAGAGGTGAGTTAGGGACAGGTGAAAGAAAACCTCAGGGTTTAATGTTTGATGTTCAGAAGTGGCCTTACTGCTCTCTATGAGGCTCTGATCAACATCTGAAGCATCCTGGGTGGGGAAAGAGTACTGAACATAGCAGTCAGTCTCTCCCCACACTGTGGACTGCAGAGGGGTCAGCCCGCTGACCTTCTCCACGCTCACAACAAACACGTGCTCTCTCATAATTTCCACCTGAGAAGTGCTCACCTGAAAAACAAACACTGGGGTTGAAGTCATTTCAAAGGAAAATAAACTTAAACAAGGTGTAAAAGTGTTTGTTTTACGTAAAGAATGTGTTCATTGATACAGTCATAACTGCACCTTTACAGTATTTAACTTGTATGTACAAGAACAGGGTGAGGCAAAAAGCTCATTTAAATCAAAGTTATACACTCATCTAATCCACGTTTTTGGTACTGCTTATGAGGATCTTACATAAGATTAATACCTCCAAGCAAATATGTTTAATACCAACACACAAAAGCAGTGAAACCAACCCAACAACACTAATTCCAAGTGTTGAACTCGTACCTTTGTGTGTAAGTGCGGCTGTTGATCCAGCAAGTGAACTGGTCTCACCATATGAGACAAAGAGCTATACTCCTCATCTCTAGCACGCTGGAGGGAGATGATCTGCTCTGCACGACCCATGGCCAGAACCACCCTGAGGTGTCCTTTGTTGGTACCTGAGAACACATCGATCACTGGCATGTAGCAGTCTACCCCTAAAACGGGGTACTGCGCCTGCAGAAGGAGCTGGCTGATCTTGGAGTCCCTGAAAAGAATGCCACATATCAAATAGTGTTAAAAAGGCTCCTGCAGAGCAAATTTTAGTCATTTATCAGGTTTATGCTGTGCAATTAACTCTTTAGCTATGCAACAGCGCCTCTTAGAGGAAGACCTAAACATGAAAACTTTAAGATGAGTAAATCTAAATGAACTGACGTTTATAAAAAAGCACCTTCGATTATCAGTCAGGTGAGAAGCAACCAAATTAGTTTGTCAATTTTTAAAATAAATATATATTTACTATGACTAGTTTTTTTTTACATGTGTGACAATTTTAATAAGCAACAAGAAACAGCAATCAAAGGTGCACAATATCAGAAACACATTATCAAACTAATGCTAAAAATAGCGATAATGACTTGGATTACTATTAATCCAGAATGTCCATACTCAACCGTTGGCAGCTTCTCAGCCACTGAATATTTATCAAACGTTATGAAAAACAGCTCCAGTTCAACCAACTGACCAAAAATACCAGACACCAATAACCTCACACCAAATATTGCTTGAGCAGTTATTTGAGATCACAATGTTGGAATGGTGAGTTTGATTCACTATGCAGCTCTACTTTTCCCTGAAACTTGGCCATTAAGCTGAGTAACCCATCAACAACCTTATGAATTTTATCTAACACCTAAAGTACTTAATCATCTCCTTTTTAAAATGATTCCACCATGTTTTGCTGTCATAATAAAGTAATAAAAGATGATGGTGCTTTTTGTTTAATTACCTAAATGACATGTAGAACTGGTGTAGGGGTAGTTTGACGAGGCCAAGGAGTCGGTCGTTTCCAGAACTCCCAGTTTTCTGCCACACTTCGATCACCATCACATTATTCTTCATCCGCTCTAAAAGTTTTCTTGTCAAGCCCACTGGTGTTACCTTTTACACAAAAGCAAGATATAAGATAATCGTACTTTTTAAAATGTTCTTTTTTTGCATTTTGTTTTGTATCAGAGGTTTATGTCTGAACAAATATATTGGTTTCTCTTCTGCTTGAAGAGACCATGCGTACCATCCAATACAGAGTTAAATTAACATCATAGACTAGGCACCTGAACCCACCTGAACAAAGTTGAAGGTGGGGTTTGTTTTGCCCCAGCTGACAGTAGATCTCGCCGTCTCATCAGACCAAAACAGCTTGCAGTTCAGGAAGATGTTTGGGGCCTGCAGGGGCCCGCCGCTGAAATTCTTCCCATCTGGAACCATGAGTAAAGTATGCAGCAGGACCTCAGGTTCCTCTTCGACCTCCTGAGAAGATTTCAGAGGAGATTTTCTGTTCCCTGGATGGTTTGATTGTTCTCTCAAAGATTTCTCAGGAGTCCAAACATTCAGCCTGGGATGATCTAAACAGGGAGCTGTTAAAGACTCCACATGTTGGGACCTCTGATTGATTGCTCTCTTAGGGCTGGAATCAAGTCTTGAAGTTGATGTGTCTCTCAAAGTGACCTTTTTATCCTTTTCCTTAGAGGATCTTTGGCTGTGTGGTCCTAGTTCTATGGAAACCTGAAAAATATATGTTAACGTTACATCAATGACAGCATCCAAGTCACTTAACAGGTACCATAACTATCTGAATCAAATCAAATAAAAGACTAGAAATAAATCACCCTGAGAGGTCCAATCTTCTCACTTCCTCTGATTCCCTCGCAGCTCTGCACAGGCAAAACAACAGACTGACTCAGCTCCGTGCTCTGCAGCAGAGAGCGCAGTGGGTGAACTGCCTGACCAACAGCAACAGGCTGCAAAAACAAAGGAAACAAATCATTAGAGCCAGTTTCACTGACTGCAGGTCAATACATCAAGCCTTTCATGGAAACGGTATTTAGAGGCTTATTTTACATGAGGCTGTTTTTAATTAATAGAGGTTTTTGGATAAATTAATTCATATTTAAAATTTGTAAACCACTAGCAGTAGTTTACTGATCTAGACTAGTGTCTGATTTGCATTTTTGTCCCTAAATCGTAAATTAAAAGGCTTCAAAACTGACTAAAAAGGAATCAATCATAATCTTAATAATACATACTTATTAGACGTTACTGGAATAGGAGTTCTATGGTTTAAGATGCTTATTAATTTAAATAATAAAATAAAATAAGAAGTCTTTACTGTTTATTCATTACAATTAGGACTTTTTTATTTCTATAGTTTAAAATAGTTTTAAACTTTTTGGACAGACAGACATATTTTAATCATCCCAAAAGGAAACTTAATTATTCATTTTCTCATTGACATACACGCCACGGTCAGAAAGAAAAGAAAAATAAAAGATGGATATATCCGAAGACAAAAAAAGTTGCGATATAAATCCATCACTAAATATAAAAAGAACTGAATTCAGCATAATATAAACAAAACCCTCCCCTCTGTTAATTCCTGAGCACAGGAGCATCACAGTCTCCCACTGAAGCAGCTCCTCTGGCCCCACATCACTGCTTGCAGTGGGTGGCTGCTGTGTTTAACCTCATTATTTCCTTTACATTGCTTCAATAAGTTGCAGTGGGAGTACTGATTGCTGTTTTCATGTTTATCTTTTTTTTCTTGGCTTCTGTAAAGCTCTGTGTCTCCTGTCAGCGAGGAAGAGAAGCTGTAAGGTAGTCAGAGGGTTGAGAGTTTCCAGTACCGCATGAAGAATTAACCCTGAATATGTAAATGTTTAACATGCATAAGGTTTGGAAAAGTAAATTGGGAGGTCTGTACGACTCAAACATGACTTTATATTTATATTAACATTTATGTTACTGCATCATATGTGCCTTACAAATAAATGCTGATGACTGCAGCTTCAGGCTAACTTACTTTCTTCTGGTCGCTCATTCTTGAATAAATCTTAAAAATGAGCTCAGTTTCCCAACATTGGCTGATTGCTGCTGCGTTGAAGTGGACAGGAAACACAGAGAGGTGGTGGAACTTCACAGCTTTAAAACAAAGAAAAACATTGAAGTCTATGTCAGAAACAAAAAGGATGGGTTAAACTAATCATATATATATTTTTTTAAGTTACCTCCAACAATGAGCTTACTGGAAACGGCTCTGGTTACCTCACCATTTCCAGCCTTACTGCGACCTATCCGAGTCATCGGGAAAACGTACTCCACAAAATATGTGCTGGAAAAAGAGATTTTTAGAAATTCTCAAACAAAGGCTATAATATAACCTTTAGTATAAATAAAAATAATTGAAATATTATACCACTTCTTGCTGGGAAATGGCCGCGGAGGTTTCCCTTTGAAGGCATTTCTGGTTGTTGTGTTTGGGCTGCCTGAGGGTAAGGCCAGTGACTCGACGGTAACTCGTGCTACTTGTACTGAACTTAGCAACTTGAACTGCTCTGCACTGAGAGGCGGGTAGATGTCATCGCATTCACCTAAGGACTGCTGTTGATCCAGGTTTGGACTGAACAAAGATAAACGCAGGTCAGAATGGTCCTTGTAGTTTAAAGGTGAAACCAAATTAAACTTTTAGAGATTCTCACCTTTGACTGATTCTAGGTTCTGACCGTGTTAGTTTTTCTGGCTGACTTTTCCTTGGTGATGTTGATCCACGACCGTCCTCATCTGAAATATCTGGTCTAGTACCTGAGTGCTAAAATAATAACTTCAATAATATTTCTGCTATAATCCTTATGAAAACTTCAAGGCAAAGGTAACTACTTACAGGAGTTTTGAAAAACAAATTTTCCAGTAAGCTCTGATCATAAAGTGGATCATTAAGCTCGCTGTCTGCACACACACTGCTGTGGCCAGAAAGGGATTCAGGAGGGGAGCCCTGTACATCCCAGAGTGGCAGTGACGACCTACAGATTAGGGAAAAGAATAGAAAATGGAATTTAAAAAAGTTAAAGTTAAGTTATAAACAAATATTGAAAAAAGAATTTGACTTTTCTTGGTCTGGCACACACAGAGACTCCTTCTTGTTTATCCTTTGCACAACTTTTATAGTTCTAATGCTTAGACTAAATTGGACAAACATTTACTTCACAGTTGTAAACAGAAAAGTGCAAATACGGTATTTGAAAGTTTCTACACCCACTAAACCTTTTAACATTTCCCTGTGTTACAAGCTCTATTTAACTGGAATATCATATGACAGACCAAAAGAAGTAGTAACACAAAATGTGTCAAACATAAAAAAAAAAGAAAGTCTGAGAAAACATTAAATGCTTTTGTATTTGGCTCCATTTAACCTGAAAGCCCTACATACAATGCAACACATCCAATGGTCCTCAGAAGTCATTAAATTAGTAAATGCTGTCTATTTTCCTTGAGTGATTTAATCTCAGCATAAATGCAGCTGTTCTCCCAGCTTCAATGCTTTGTTAGGAGAACTTTAGTAAACTTACAGCAACATGTTGACAAAGGAACAGCAGACAGACCAGGGTTAGAAATAAAGGACTTTAAAGCAGAGTTAGGCTGCAAAACATTTTTAAACATCTTATCAAACAGTACTCGTAATCTACAGTTAAGAAATGGAGCTTTGGAAAAACTTCAATATTATAAGGTTGTTTTACTCAACAAACAAGGCAGGTTCTATGCCAAGTCTGGGGGAGTTGCATTGGTTTTAAACTCAGGTCAAAGAATATGTTGAAAGGGCAGCTTTGACTATTAAAGCTGGTAGAAAACATTGTTAAAGGAGATCTCAGTAATATCCTGTGGACTAAACAATGGCAAAGGATGTGCTCACGACATCAACGTCCCAATAGGACAGTTTAGATCAAAGTGTTTTCATGCGTTTGAATTAGAAGTGCAAAATATCTCATCATTAAAGATTTCTGTTTACAAAAAAGAAAAGACATTTGATCTTGTTCGCAAGGTGGCAAGATAGAAGTTTGTTCAGACTCCAAATATTCATATTTTGCCAGAAACTCATAGAAAAAGTGTTTTAGTAAGACTTGGAAGCTGCAATCAAATCTGAGTGAGGCTGAGTTATTTTGCAAATGGTATTTGCAAAATAACTCAGCCTCACTCAGTCCACTCATTCCAGTTTATGTTTGTGCAAAGCTTGTTAAGGGAAATTCCAAAATACTTCCAGTTTTATAACAGAAAATAATAAAGCCATTTATTTCTGACCGTAAATTCCATTGTTCGAGTAGCTCAGGGTAAAACCAATAGAAACAGAGACCACACTTTCTGCCAGTCCTAACACTATATAGCACAGATCACATAAAGTGAAACAGCACAGTCCTTACACACTAATAAGTTCAGTCTTATCTGCCATATAATTAGTATTATTAAGGTCGGATTTAACTTTTCAGGGAGATTCCAATATTGACCTCCTGCTTAAGAAGCCCCGGTGTCAGTACTATTTCTTTGTTTTACTCTTTTGTTTTATTAAAACAAAGTTATGGCTAAAATACTGGATCAATGAGGGATATCTTTAACTCATATCAATAAATCCTTAATGGTAAATACCCCTAAATGATCAATTTATATATAAAATCTCGATTTTGTGGGGGACCGACCTTATTCTCCTATTTTACAACTGTGCGCTATGTTTTAGCGATGGGTTGATTGAGTGTCATAAAGCGTTACACTGACACCTGCTGGACCTTTAAAAACCCTACAAGTAGCCTATGTGACAGACTAAACTGAATTTGATGACCTAGAACTATAATATAATTTTCTGTTACTGCAGGTTATAGTATTATTTCATATATACTTTTAGACTGAAAATATCTTTGATATTTTTAGATGCAGCCAAAAAATAATGTGAACATATAATGTGAAAATGTAGGTGAACATGTGAATGTGTGTACTTGTGGAATAGAAAGTAAAAAAAACTTTTAAAGCGACAAGTACAGTAAAAACAGTAAACTAAGAGTCCATTTAAAATTAACCTATCTGAGAGGAACAGGATGACAATGAGGAAATGAAAACTAATATGAGATCAAATGTTTTTTTTGCCTTGAGGTTGCCTAATAATTCTTGATCATTTTGATAATGAACTACAAAAGATCCGAGATTTTTTTTAGCAGATGGATCTTGTTGTCAAATACGTTTAGAAAAACATTTTAGTGCGTCAGTCAATTCGAAACAGCTCCTGTATCCGTTGTCTGAGTTTCTCAAAAAGATACGCGCACCCACACAGTGTTTTGCTCTAAGAGGCTGAGCATTGGTGTTGCTGGACCTATCACTACTGCATTATATAGACATCATAATATTAATGGAAGTTTGCGAATATAATGTTTAAAGGTGAAAAAATTTCAGTGGTAAAAATCTGGTTTCAACTTGGAAAGCCCTCTACCTGCCAAGCAGCAGATCCACAGCTCTTCTGTCCATGTCTGGAAGACAGTCCACGCCGCTGTTTGAGGGGAACGTTCCATCATCAGGCTGCTTCAGGGCTGAGTCTGCATGGAGGATATCTTGAAGAAACACACCAGAGGTAGAAGGAAAAGAGCTGCAAACAAAAAGGAAGGTCGTAAGTATCAAAAACCTGCATTTATAATATCTTATAACATCAAAAACACTCACTCTATAGGTAGTTGGATGTTATCCTTAGGCAGAGGTAGAGGACTGTCTTTTAGAGGCAGAGCAGAGTCCATGTCAGATTTCAACGCTGATTCCACCATTGCATTTCTAAGCTTGTTTCCACGCTCCAGAATGACTATGGTGAGAAAAATATTTGAAAGTTATATCTGTGTTTTCTTTGGCATATTTGTGATGCAATGATGCTGACGCTGACCTGAGATAATATCGTTACTTATCCGTCCATCATATGACTCCATATGCAAAGGATTCCCAACAGTTTGACTGTTTTGGGATTTGCTGGAAGCAGGAAGCACATTCTCCAGCGTCTCCTTGTCCCTTTGGACATTTTGAAAATACAAGTGGTCTTTTCCTCTAAAAATAAAGCAAGAAACATAAGAAATTAACAAAGGAAATGAAAGTATCCATAAACGGATATCCATAAATTTCTTATGGATGTTTGTCCTTTTTAACTTTCGCCAACCTTGGTGTGTTTCGACCACTGCTCCCGGCTGATTCTTTCCTGCCTCCAGCTGAGAGGGAAACAGGGTGCGAGGGGACCGTCAGTTTTGGTACCTGCATCCTATCAGTACTGATGTCTGTGGCGGGACCAGAGCTGCTGCTGTCGTAAGCTTCTGTCAGAGGTTCCAAATTCAGAGAAACCTCGGGTTCAAACATGAGACATAGATGTCAGACGGTCAGAGAACATTGGAAAGGAAAGCAAACAATACATAAAAACAAACTATTTATTAATCAAGAACGTTTAAGTTACAAAGTTTCTGAACTGATCCATCTACTCACCTGGATCTCTCCCAGCTTCTCGGATGTTGGTGATACAAGCGTATAAAATCCACTAATAGGTTGTGACAGAGACAGGCGTGCGATTCCAGCTACTTGAGCCCGAGCAATCGGTAAATGATCTGGTTTAGTTAGGACCTCCAACACCAAAGAGCCCATATCTGTTCAGAAAAGAAGAATACTTGATTTAGGAACAAACAAACAAACAAAAAAAAATCTAGATATCCACATCTCCTTATTCACCTGTAAGATAAGAGGTAAACTGCTGCGGGCCACATCGGATAGGGAAACGAGCTGTGCTCTTGACGGTTTTTTGAGCGATCTGGGATCCATCTCTTGGAAAAAAGTGCGTCCCATTGGACGACTCTCCCCACCAGCGCAGCCTGATGAAGGTTGAAGACGGAGGCTTTTGGACGGTCCATAACACCCTGCTTACCGTCACACACAAGAAGCATCTCAGCTGACCCTCAACAAGAGGTGGGAGGCTTGTTGATGGAGACACATCACTAGGGACTGCAAGAGTTTTATTTTAGAGTACAGCAAACTGTAGACAAAATGCAATTACATGATATAATAGGTTTAGGATGTAGATACAATTAGATATATTAGATATTATTTAAGGTTACAATCGTTATATGATGTGTAAAAAAATTATTATTAAATGTCTTTCTTCTTTGGGTTCACAGAAAAAATAGATCGCAGAGAAATTTACTCAACAACTAGGATTTATAAAAAGATCTAAATAAAAAGGTCCCTCTTCTCAGGTAATGAAACAACCTAGAAGAAGTTAATCTCTGTTCCTACCATATCCTTCCCTTCTAAACACTTTATGCAGCATTAAACAACATAAAATGGTCAAACAGTATATATAACTCAATGGTGATATTGAAATAATTAGCAGAATAAAACTTTAGCCTTTTTAGGTGACGATTATACTGTAACATAACCAACTATAGCAGAAAACAGTTACACTGTGTTAAGTGTGATGTTGGTAACTTTATTTTTATAAGGACAATTTAAAGCGAGAGATTGAAGAATAATCTAAAATATGAACAATGTGCTTTGTCTCCTTTTAATTTCTGACTATGCTCGTGGAAAGCTGACAGTTGGAGTTACAGGCTACTTATGAGTAGCATAACATTAGCAGCTAGCTTAGTTCTATTTACCTTTCCTTTTGTTGCTTCCAGTTTTGACAGAATTCTGTTTCTTACTCTTCATTACTTTGTTCATGAAAAACAGCTCGTTAGTGACAGTCTGTCCGAGACGCAGGCCGGAACCTTCGTAGAAATGTTCATTATCAGCCTAGTAAAATAATAATCCGTTTAACAGAGGCAGAGTAGTGCGCGCGCACACAGAACTACACAAGCGCGGAAAACTGTCTCCGACACACTCCTTACCAGTTGGTAGCGGTAATGCTCACCTAACGTTTTTGCCAACCACCAAATTTCAACAAGAAGAAGAAGAAGAACTGTCTCCTAGCAACAACAGCGGGTTCCCAGAATCCGCCAATCCACCTTCCCCGGTGACCGAATTTTCTCCCCTCCTAACATTTAAAGAATATCTCGCGTTGTTTAGCTTTGACTTTTAAAGCTTGTTATTTTTCTTGAAATGTTGAACGCTTTCAATATTAATTGAAATTGTGTACATGATCATCTGTTTTAAAGTTGGAATTAAAGTTGTAGTAAAAAAAAAAAAACAAATAAACAACATCCCTTACCGCCATTTTTTACTGAGGCATTATGGGAAATCTTCTTCTCATTTTAATTTGTGGCGGGATGCAGCAACCCTAGGTAGCATACCGCCACCTACTGTACATGAGTGTGTAGTGACTCATATCCCCTACATTCTATTTTTTAATTACGGTATGTATTATGAAGAAAATAAATAATGCTTTTCTTACTGAATAAATGTCCTTTCTGTTTCCTTCCGTTCCCAATAGTCCTTTATGACTCAATCTTAAAGGCCGTTTTGCCATTTATTTCCGTGACTGTAATGCAGATGTCTCAAATGTGTTTTTCATTCATGTTAACAGGGCTTTCATTTCCAGATATCTAATATAAGATTCTTCCTATCTAAAATAAACATTCTTCATATATAAAAACTAATTCTGATTAGGATGAACTCTAATTTCAGATCTCCATAATAGAGTTAATGCTACTCAGAATTACTATTTCAGATATAAAAAAATGAATATAACATTGCTGATATCAAATTTTTGACATCAAAAATATATTTCTGCTAGTAGAAATGTCATTACAGATTTTTAAACTCACATGCTTCATCAACCTTTTTTTTTTTCTTTAGACCGCTGTCAAAATACTGATATAATTATGGATTACTTTGCGTTTAGGTCAGTCATAAACAGTAATAAAACCCACCTCATTAAACATCAGAATGTCCTGCTGCGTGATGGGCTGAGATCTTAACTTAATACTTTTCTTTCCCACAGGGAAATTTTTTTTATGACTAGTTAAAATAGAGTTCCAGATATCTAAATTTTAATAATGACTATATAAAATGCAGTGTTAGATACTTGCAAAAGGACGATGAGGCTCCATTTTAACATAAGTTGGCAGGCTGACTAGACACATTTCTATTGTTTCTATTCAGAATTGAATTTTAAATATCACTANGCTCCATTTTAACACACTTAAGCAGTCTAGCTGGTCACAATTACTATGTTTCTATTCAGAATTGAATTTTAAATATCACTAATTACATTTCTGCCAGAAGAAATTAAATTATAAGTAATCTAGAATCAAATTTGTACTAGTAAGAACTTCCCTCATTTTAAGTGGCCTTTTTAACATATATTTGCTTGACCGGATATCTTTTTCAGATATCTTTAATAGTATCTAAAATGAACATTTCAGATATCTGAAATGTAATTCTTACTAGTACAAATGACTTCACTTTTCCCATTCGTGTGTATTGGGTTGTTACTCATATCTGAAATTACATTACTGCCATTGAAAGCAGTATTACAAATGTAGTTGTAGATATCTGTAAAGACATTTATACTTGTAAAAATATATTTTAGATGTCAGAAATTATACTTTGGATATCTGCAATAATATCTTCATTTTTGATGTCTGAAATAAAGATTAAGACCAGTAACAATTGGATTAGGGAGATCTTAAATTCATTTTTAGACTTCCAGAATGTTTATTTTAGATAGGAGTAATGTCATTTTGGATATCTGAAAGTAATGGCCCAATACACATGAAAGGGGAAAAGTGACGTCCCACCATGTGATCTCCTTGGCCAATCCAGTGGGAGATCAAAGCCAAGTTTTGCGCCCCCTAATTCTTTGTTAGACTTACAGTATGTTAATCTTAGTGCTCCCCACTACCAGTTTGAACTAAAGAAGCCTCTTCGATGACATCATCTAGAAAGCTTCACGTAGAACCACTGATGCTTTTTCAAGGTAGACCATCACCTGGATGACTCACAATCTTCATAGATATCTTCAAATTAAAATGTACCCAACCGACCTAATGTGTCCATTAGATGACACTGTAAAACAATAAGATTACCTAAGTCAAAATATTCAAACTTTTCATAAAATAAAACATTATTCAAAGACAGGAACAATTGTCTTCATTGCCCATCATTCCTAAAAGAGGAGCCTCTGCTTGCTTTGAGGAAAACATTCAAATCAGACTTAGAAGATCTTAAGTACTGTATGAGCTTCATCAAACCAGACGGCTTCTTTTAAGAGGGTAGAAAAGTGGAGAGACCAGCTTCTCTACTTCAGTTTGTTGTGTTTTTGGAACCTAACAAAGAGGTTTTCCATGAACATTTTAGGCTTAGTATAATTTTGGTTGTGGTTCCTATTGCAACTACATTCTGTGAAAGAAGTTTCTCTAGATTAAGGCACCTGGGCATACTCAGTGTTGAGTCTAGGAGGGCATATTCCCTAAATATGACAGACTTTGTAAAACATTTTGCTCCATCTCACCAGAACCGCAGTGTTTTGCTGTTCTGATTGGTTTTGCAAACTTTCTTTCTTTCTTTCTTTCTTTCTTTCTTTCTTTCTTTCTTTCTTTCTTTCTTTCTTTCTTTCTTTCTTTCTTTCTTTCTTTCTT